ATAACGAAGCCCGCAAAACACAGCCTCCGTTTGCGCACGGTGGCCTCGATGGTTTCCTCGCAGCCGGCCTGGATGAGGGCCTGGGCGTAGGACAGGGGTCGGTCTGAGCGCTTCCGCTTGCTCCAGCCGATACACCGTGTCAGGAACTGGCGGTGGGTCCCATTCAGCTTGGTGTAGTGCTCCGCTGCCAGGCTCCACGAGGCGCACCCGTCTAGGAGGGTCTGCACCACTTCAGCCTGGAGTAGTCGGATCTTGAGCTGGCGGTTGGCCCGTTTCCTGTCGTACATCGAAGTGCTGTTCCGGCGGTAGCGCTTCCATGCTCGGCAGATGCGGCTCGTGATCTCCCGGTCGACCTTCCCATCCGCGCAGATGGTACGTCCGAGGTACACAAACCGATCTGTATGTATGTATGTATGTATGTATGTATGTATGTATGTATGTATGTATGTTTGTGTTTTATTTGTGAGTTATTACCGCCCTTCATACGGGAAACGCAGCGTTAGGGTACTGTGCCACGGGTGCATGATATGTAGATTAGCCTACTGTGGTACGCCTTCGAGTGCTCATAATCCAGGGGGGGTGACCGTTCGTGTAAAAATTCTCGTACCCGGGGGGGCGGGGGCCAACCTGCCACAGTTAGTCTAGAAGAGACTAGACTACTGCTCCAGTAACTTGTACCAATGTTTTTAACAATCTCTGGAACCGCAGCAGCGGCCGCCGCATCATCACCAGCTGCAAAGGCACCAGTCGAAGCAGCAACGACAACCATAGCTGCAGCAGCAATCTTGGAGTCAGAAATAACCCGCCGGTCGTGAGGGAAACAGGCATACCCTTGACTGACTGCTTCGCGATCGATCCTGAACGCTTGGTGTACTGGCGTGCTGTGGTATGCTGTATATCAATTCACCTAGTTTTTCTCTTAGCGATTTTGTCGTGCAGATCGGTGGAGTGCGTGTGATGGCTACGGGCAGGGTGATCCGTCGTAAGCTATTACTAGATAAAAAGGGGTATTGAGCCGTGGGGTAGCCGACTCGTTACCCTGCACTAGTCTGTCTATCTGCGATGCTGATGCGCGAATGCCCACACACAGCAGCGTGGAATACTTGTGATGTACTGGTAGGTCCACAAGGGACAGGCGTGCGACGGGCGGGACGAGGATGTGTGCAGCTCCCGTGAGCAACGTTTTCACGGGTGCTTTCTTTTCCCTTGATGCCACACACCTCACGAAGCACCAAAAGTCTTTCCGCCGTGCGCGGACGAAACCACGCACACCGGGAGGAGGAACGCATTTACCTGTCAGCGAGCATACGTATCACACCGCCGGTGAGCACCAGTAGCAGTGTAGACATGAGTAGGTGCGGCAGGCTAGCAACTTACCGCTACACTCAATAGTTTCAACCCTGCCGAATTCCCCGCCGACTGAAAGCAAGCGGTCTACGATATTTCCCGTGCACCACAACAAGTGATTGACGCACACGAATTTCACGAATAGAGACCCAGCCGCATCAACTGCAGGCAGGGTAGTCGGCTTCGCGAAGGCAGTCAGTAGCGCGGCGCAAATACGCAGCCTGAACCGATCACGAGCAACCTTCCTGAGAACGCACAGCAGTAGACCCTCATGCCCTCGGAGGTTTCTCTCGATGGTAGGTGTGCTCTCGGCTTCGGAAGGTGTGTAAGGTGAACGTGAGATCTCATCGCTCTGCCGTTGAGCAGTCAGTTAGAACCACACAACATCAAGAATCAACCCGCAAGGTTACACGTGGCGCATGACTATATCCACGGCGCGCAGGTCGTATTGGCTCGGCCCCTGCTACTCTTGAAAGCTGGCCTCGGGTCTGTTGCGTTTGAAGCTGAGGACACGCCCTGATGTTAGTTTTGTTGCTTCTCCTGGTTCAAATCGCGTGCGTGAGATCTCCGCTATTTCGCTCCCGCTTTCCCTCGATAAACACTGGGGGGCAGGGTGAGGTATCTCCTACGAACTTTGGGCACAGGCGCCTACTTTCCGCGGCCATCTGTTGTCGGAGCACGACCAGACCGGTGTGACGAAGGGTGCCTTACTTCCTCAGAAACCAACAGATCGTCAATGGGTGCTCTAAAGGTCTTGTTTGGGTCGAGCAGGAGGTTGTTGAGAGCCCCGGGAAATCAAACTTGGGCCCCTGCATCGCGTTGGAACAGGCCGATATTCAGAGCCTGTTTCCCCTCCTCGGATGAAGGGAAATACGGTCGGGTTTCGCGCCGGCTTGTAAAAAGCTACATTATTTTTTTTTTTTTCCTTTCAACCTGAAGAACGACTGTTCCTGCAGTAGCCTGTTGCGTACCCGTCCGACGTTCCGGGTAAAAAAAAGAGCCCCGCTTGTTCAAACAACAGTGCGTGGTGTAGAGTCGCACACTGGGCACACACCCATTCGACAGTGTACAGAAGTGCACAGCAGCTCGACCGTAGAGCTGGACATACATCGGTTGGTGTTTAGAGCAGCGTATGTGTGCTCTCACCTCAGAACCTCCTCTACCTATCTGCTGCTCTGCTGCTTGTTGTATTGTGGTTGCACCCCAGCACAAAACCCATACCACACGAGGAAACACATGCGACAGCGGCATTGGAGTCTCTCATATATGTATCTCCTTGTTCTCACCGGGTGGAGAGACCAGCCTCCTCTCTATGGGTGTGTCTATCGCATGCATACATGCTCTGCTGATGCTCTGTCTCCCTTTGCGATAAGCAATAATCCACCGTAACCAACCCATGCACATGTGTATGCGTGGTCACACATGCAGCCGCTGCTCTCCTCTTGTCCACAGTCTGCTAGAAGGAGTACTGTGTCATCATATAGGTCACACCGTCTCGCCTATATTTCGCTGGCATGCCCCGGCCCCCTCAATCGTCTCGGTCTCTCCCTCAAACATATTATGGTACATAACATACACACATTCGGCAAGCCAGGCTAAGAATGACGCCTCTCTCTGTTCCGGGGGAATGCATGCCTTCCGACAACAGCTTCGGCAGACATGCCCTGCTACCTCGACGCACTGAACATGGGTTGAATCGGCAAGCAGCGTGGAAATTACTGCCTGTTGGGCACAAGTATTGGCTTGTAGTTCGGGGCCTAGTTGGTGAAGTGGGCTCCAGTCTCCTGCCTTTTTAACGCTTGCACGTATGCACATTGCTCCTCAGACAGCCTCCCGCAGTTTCACGCCCCTCAATATCGAATTTCCTTTTTTCCGTGCACACGCCTCTGCGACCATTCTGAGGTTGTCTGCACAGCAATCGTTTCTTTTTTCCAAAATATCCATCTCACGAATGTTTTTCCGCTGGGCGGATCTGAAAGGAAAACGATCAGTAAGGTCTGTCCGCCCCTTGCACTACCAATTGTGCCTGCTGTTTTATCACCCCGTTCAAGAGGATTCCCTGTGGCGGCAGCAGCGGCAGGAAGGTTCCAGATGAGAACGGGGCCGAGAACCAACAATAATATTCTGAGGACGGTGTCTGGCCATGGTGCTGAAAAATAGCCTGTGCTACATGCAATCAACTGGTTTTGTCGTGTCACCTACATGACCTCTTTACCAAACCTCCACGACATTCGGAACCACGGTGCCTTGCTTGTTGCAATCCGTTTCATGTTGTGCGCAGGCTCGATGTCATCTGCTGGTTTGGAAACCGAGGTTGGGAATGTTGCTGGGGCAGCCAAGGTGAGTCTCGCGTGCCGCTGCTAATGATGGACTGCTGAGCCCGGTTGAAGGCAGCGCGTAGTCGGGAAAGTGGTTACTTGTCTTGAGGCTTTTCGCGACTCGATTTGTACGAAAAGGTAAAACTTTTTCTTTCCGCTGACTGCCAGCTTTCAGAACTGTGGCAATTCGTTGTTTGATTTGTTAAACCCAAAACGATGATCGTGTTGTGTTGATGGCGTTATCAGGTGACTCATGAAGTAGATGACATTCAGGTGAAGAAGGAGGAGGAGGAGGAGCAGGAGGAGGAAGAAGAAGAGGAGGAGCAGGAGCAAGAGGATGGGCAAGCAGAGAGGGTGAGGCGAACGTCATTGGTATTTTTTTATGATTTGGCGCATTTGATACCCATCGCCCCAAGCTGCTAGCGGTTGAGAGCGTGTGAAGTTTGCTCAACAGTCTACCCTCAACATAGATTGCAACATCGACAGATAGACCCGCGTTGAAGGTGACCGCTCTTCTCGACACAATCATGTTCAACGTTTTCCACAGGGTGGATCCATCCCTTTCAAGCCAATGCATGTCATGACAAACTCCCCCTCATTTTGCATACACTGGGGTTTGTCTCTGTAGGGACAATCTGAGTATCCAAGCTTGTGTCTTCTTTGGCGCTCCGGCACCTACTAGCGCGTGCTAGAAACCTTTGTCATGTTCAGATACTGCGGACGACTGGATGTTTGCTCGATGTTTATGTAGGTCGAATCAATCCTCTGTGAAGCCCCAGACTCGTATTTTGGAGATGGTGCTAGCGGCGTCAACGAGACTCAGTCTGTGCAGTGTTCGGATGACTCGCTTCAGGCGAGGCCAGGCAAGCGCAAGCTCGGGAGTATGGCCAAGGCCCTCTGCCGGCACAGCGTCTGGACAGCAGCGGGCAGCCGGCAACCCAACCACACAGAGAGGTGAGATCAGGAATGTGAGATAAAGGTATTCGAGTGTAGCTACCGCACGAGCTGCGGGAATCAACCTCGTGTGGATTAGGAAATGCGGGAATCAACCGCGAGAAGTTGTGATCCTAAGGGTTTCTCTTTCGGCTTTGTTGTGAAAGTGCAACAATCGTTATCCCGGGATCTTCTGCCCAGTATCTGCGGCCCCGCTCGTTGGCACAGTGCCGATTGCACCATCGCGTTAACCGTCATGCACAGCCACTACTTCTAGAGGGTTCACAGGGGGGCACACCCGTCTAGCGTCGAGTCTACAGTACCTAGCGTCAGATGAAATCACATGGAAGGCGCGAATCTCTCCAAGGCGGCAACAAGCTGCCGACATTTCGGAACACGATGCAAAACACGCTCCATGGCATCTCGCAACACTGCAGGTTCTTGCCTGACAGCACACACACATTCACCGGAACGCAACCGAAGCCTGACTCTGCTGCAAAAACCCAGTGTGCACCTGTGTCTGCTGTACAAACCCACTATTCTTCTGTATGGGTTGCCGTCGGGGTTGGTTTGGGTACGCATGGCACGCAGAGGACCCGTTGGTATATTACCCGTTACGCGTGGGGCTCGTGAGACACCGGTGGTGCGCGTTCGGGTCGCCTAAAGTCTCTGGGACTGGCTCTTTGTTCAGGGGGTTGGGAATCCAAACCATAAAAGCTCCACGAACGTGATAATAACTGAAAACAGAACTGTTTTTGCCCTGCGCCCCGCGCCACGCTCCCACACAGCTGCTGCTTGCTGTGATTGTTGTGGACACACCCACCGCACAGCTGCTGTGTGTGATTGTGGTACACACCCGCCACACAGTAACTGGCGCATGCGTACCCGCAGCGGGGACCAAGACTCTTGATGCTGCTCATGGGAACATACCACGAAACACAGCAGTCCACTCGCACACATCTGACAGCGGTGATTTGAATTTCAATTTCGAAAAATCGAAAAATTCAAATCTAGAAGTTGTGGTACGGTCGCACATCTGTGACTGTTCTTGGGTACGTTGAGCGTCTTTTTGATCCGTTGTAGGTGCTGCGTGAAAACGTCCCACAGACCATGGGAAACATGATCACACAAGAAAAGTAAGGGCTCAAACGCAGCGGAATACAGCAGTTGGACCTACCTGCAGCCAAGACGACGCTAGCCTTAAAGCACACACTCGCGAACAAGCGAAAAGTCACGGCGGGAGAAATCAAAATACCCCGCACATGATGAATATCCAGGCAAATTGGTATGTAGGTTGCGCGCAAACCGGCACTGCCGAATGTCGTGCCGACCAAACATGCGACAGCGATGACATTGATCGGCCATTTCCGCTTGCGTCGCCCCCGGGAGGCAAATCACCTAACTCCCGCAGGGGAACCTTGTAAACTCTTATCGTTCTATCCCCTCCCCGGTGTTTCATATCATCACGCCTGGGGATAAATCGTGTTTGATTGTCAGCCTCACAAGAACGTCATCCAAGCGCCAACGGAAAACCTCCGCATCAGAAACAACGGGCGGCGGGACGGCGGCAACACACACGACGGTGAGTTAGGCGGAAGGCTCGTTCCTGTCGCATTCTTCGCGAATATGTCAAATGATTACGGGGTTGGCCAGTGCATGTTTTTCTCGTGCAAGTTTGCCGCGTTACTCGCTCCTGCTTGCCGAACAGCTGGTGGTTGTTCGTCGTTGGTGGTGGTGCTGGTTCGGGATGATTTCTGACGGGCACCCTATCAGTAGCTCAAAGCTAGCGGGATCGAACACCGGCGAAAGTTCTACCTGGTATCTAGTCTTCAGACATCACGATGCTGAGAGGAAATCGTCTTTTGCAACTCTAGCGAGTCTACACTCGTGAATCTGTTTCTGACTGTCGGTATTTGGTTTTTGAGTGTGATGAACGGCAAGGGGACTACACGCGGACTTTGTAATGCGCTGTTTCACTGCTGGGAGCCAAGAGGCCACACAGGGGTGTTCTGAGTGGAGTTGAATATAGGAGGCAGGGTCTCCCAAACTCATACGACCGTCTTTCCAATATATTGTGCGCGGCAGAAACCTTCGGTGACTGTAGAAATCAAAAGGTCGGGGGTATCGCGGGAGGAGGACGCGCTAGAAGCACCGACTGCGCAGCACACTGAGTGTAGCTGACGACGAAGACATTCAGCCAAAGGCTGTATCGATAGCGTTCTCGCGTGAGAGGCAACCAACTAGTTTCAGTGCGAAACTGTCTTCCATAAGGTGGCAGAAAGAAGAGCATGCACGTGTCGAAAAGCACAGGGCACATGATGCTTGGTTGTGGAACATCGACGGCTGCTCCTACCCCAGGACAAGGACAGTATGGCCTCTGAACAATCTAGAATGGAGGATAGGAGATCCTTGAGCGGTGGTATGCGCAGTGTATTCATTGAAAAGTCTCTCGCTGCTCCCCGATGTTGCTCGCATCGTTGCTGAGATATTGACCTATGGTAAAATCTGGAATGTGGGTTCTGCTCGATCGCGTTTGGAATCGTGCTTTCCAACAGTCAAGGCGTACGGCAGCCAGGTATCATGACCAGGGACAACGATGCTGCCAGGAGCACGGCTGTACAACACAGCCATCGTACGGTCAAGCCCACAGCAAGAATGCACAGCTCTGCTCTCAACACTCTAAGCCAGGGATGACGAACCTCACGAAGAAGAGGTGCGGCCATGCAGGATGCATCAAGCAGCCTTCATATGGCAAAGACGGCAGCAAGAAGCGGGAGTTCTGCTCCCAGCACGCTCAACCGGGTATGGTTGACGTCGTCAGCAAGAGGTGCTGCCATCCAGGGTGCATGACTCAACCGTCGTATGGTAACGTCGGCAGCAAGCCGGACTTCTGCGCTCAACACGCGCAGCAGGGCATGGTCCCTGTTCGTGGTAGAAGATGCGGCCATCCAAAGTGCGTGAAGCAGCCTTCTCATGGCAGAGCCGGCAGCAGGATAGCGGAGTTCTGCTCTCAACACGCGCAGCAGGGTATGGTCCTTGCTCATGGTAGAAGGTGTGGCCATCCAGAGTGCACCACGCAGCCTTCATATGGCAGAGCCGGCAGCAAGATAGCGGAATTCTGCTCTCAGCACGCACAACAGGACATGGTCCCTGTTTGTGGTAGAAGATGCGGCCATCCAGGGTGCACCACGCAGCCTTCATATGGTAAGGCCGGGAGCAAGAAGCGGGAGTTTTGCGCTCAACACGCGCAGCAGGGCATGGTCCCTGTTTGTGGTAGAAGATGCGGCCATCCAGGGTGCACCACGCAGCCTTCATATGGTAACGCCGGCAGCAAGATAGCGGAATTCTGCTCTCAGCACGCGCAACAGGACATGGTCCCTGTTCGTGGCAGAAGATGCGGCCATCCAGGGTGCACCACGCAGCCTTCATATGGTAACGCCGGCAGCAAGATAGCGGAATTCTGCTCTCAGCACGCGCAGCAGGACATGGTCCCTGTTCGTGGTAGAATATGCGGCCATCCAGGGTGCACCACGCAGCCTTCATATGGTAAGGCCGGGAGCAAGAATCGGGAGTTTTGCGCTCAACACGCGCAGCAGGGCATGGTCCCTGTTGGTGGTAGAAGATGCGGCCATCCAGGGTGCACCACGCAGCCTTCATATGGTAACGCCGGCAGCAAGATAGCGGAATTCTGCTCTCAGCACGCGCAGCAGGACATGGTCCCTGTTCGTGGTAGAATATGCGGCCATCCAGGGTGCACCACGCAGCCTTCATATGGTAACGCCGGCGGCAAGAAGCGGGAGTTTTGCTCTCAGCACGCGCAACCGTGCATGGTTAGTGTCATGCAGGCGAGGTGCGGTTATCCAGGGTGCATGACTCAGGCGTCGTATGGCAGAGCCGGAAGCAAGAAGCGAGAGTTCTGTGCTCAACATGCGCCCATCTAGGGTACATAAAACAGGCGACACATGGAAATGAAAGCAGCAAGTTGCTTTGGTTACCTTGCTTTTGTTATGTTGCTTGTGTTACGTTGCGTTTGTTGCGTTGCTTGTGTTGCGTTGCGTTTGTTACGTTGAGTTGGTTTCGTTGCGTTTGTTACGTTGCTTTTGTTTCGTTGCTCGTGTTTTGTTGCGTTTGTTGCGTTGCTTTCGTTACGTTGCTTTTGTTACGTTGCTTTTGTTGCGTTGCTTTTGTTACGTTGCTTTTGTTACGTTGCGTTTGTTGCGTTGCTTTTGTTACGTTGCGTTTGTTACGTTGCTTTGGTTACGTTGCTTTTGTTACGTTGCATTTGTTACGCTGCTTTGGTTACGTTGCTTTTGTTACGTTGCTTGTGTTACGTTACTTTGGTTACGTTGCTTTTGTTACGTTGCGTTTGTTACGTTGCTTTGGTGAACTGAGCTCTATGGGGCTCAGGGTTTGTGTTGTATTTGGCGTATTGTTCTAACCCTGTTTCCCCTGGTGTACTGTCGGCAATTGGTCAGCGCTCATTGGACGTGCAAGCTCTGCTGAACGTCCGACACCCTCGTTTGTTTTGTTCCTGAGGCGTTTCCAGTGTTCTTAATAATTTTTCCACATTTTCAGTGTGCCCTGGCGTTGCTCTTAGGCAGTCGACTCGCTGGTGGTTTGTTGCAAGCTATTTATGTATGAACCCGCGTCAAACAAACTGGTGTTCATATGGAACGCTCTTTATTCTTTGTTTCGTGTCTCAGGTTCTAGAAGATCTTCATGCGGTTTGGCTTGGAATGCGTTGGGCGGATTCTTTCCACCGAGAGTATTGATCGTCAGGGCGGCGCTAAGCGCTACCTCAAGCTGTGCTCCTTCGCGGAAGAAGGGGCAGGAGGTGGAGGAGGTGACCCATGGGCGGATGGGGGGGGGGGCGTACTCTTATGTTTTGCATGCCTTTGCGGTTGGACCATTGACCACGCGTCCTCGAGAGGATGGAGCATTGTTCCCACAGGACCGATCACCGATGGCCAATCGTTCCTTTCTACTTTGCCAAAGGTGGCTCAAAAATGTCTTCCCTAGTCTGTCTATCCTAACGATATCTCTTCCCGCCTTTTCAACCCACCTCCTATGCCCCAGTACAGCTACCGTCCTTTCCTCTCTATTCCATGCCTCAAACATCTCCCTGTACGTTCCATCTATTTTTCCCAGCTCAGTCACGTACACTTCCCTCTCCTTCTTGTACAACGGACATTCCGCGACTACATGAACACGGTCTTCGCATTCGAAGCCGCAATCACATTTGAACTCGTCGTCTTCCTCGTCTACCGTCCTATGTCTTCGTCGACGTTCTCGAAGGCCTATGTCCCCGGTCCTGAATTTGACCTTAAGCTTTGTTCCTGCATCCATTGGTCCATGTGTGTATTCCTTAAACCCTATTCCTTCCTTCCGTACACTTCTAGACCCTCCTTATCCTTGGATTCTTTCCTTAGATTCTGTTCTTCTCTCTCGGCACAAGCAACAGATATCTTCTCCTTGAACCCCTGTAGACCCTCCGTTTCCAGCGTTTCATCGTCGTCGATGTCGAGCCCCTTCCATACGTCCTCTACAACCTTGACGCATTCCGTGGGTTGTCTACCCCTCATTTTGTTTGCCCACTTCGCCTCCCATACAATTTTCGGCAACCTCTCCTCTCCCATCCCGCACATGCGATACTGCCATGTCAGCTTCCTCGCGTCTCTTCCTGACCGTAGGGATTGGATCCCCAATTCTGCCCTCACGGCTGCATTACTTGTGCGCCTGGAGTATCCTAGGATGACTTTCGCTGCTTTCATCTGCGCCGCCTCGAGTTCTTTCACTACCTTCTTATTTCCTTCCCATACTTCTCCGGCGTACTCTCGCGTCGGTACGATTACGCTCTTCGAGACCGTCAATTTGATGCGTGTATCGAGGTGCCGGGGCGGATGGGGGGGGAGGGTAAACAAAGATGGAGACGGGGATGTTCTTCGCCTCCGAGCGAGAAAAGCAATGGTCCTGATGATTACGCTGGCTACAAAGCCTTGGCGGACACCTGAACCGTGCTGACAAGGTTTGTCATGTGTCTTGTCCTTTCCAAAAATCGTGCCTCTTGGCCTGCCTCTTTTTCTGTGCCTGCGATGATGTTGGATGCTTGCGTGTTACTTGTCGTGCATCCGTTATGCCCGTGACTCCCTGTAACGTACAACCTTCCTCATCCCAGCGTGTCCGTCGGCGACCCCTGATGTTTGAATGTACTTCGCCTCCCTTCAATTTGCTTCTGCGGGGGTGCGTAGCTTATGCTCGTCTCTACGTATTCTACGACCTGCGGGTATGCTGTCGGTTGTCCGCCTCCCCCCCCCATGCCTCCTTGCAAATATTATTGTTGAGAATGTACATTTGTCAGCTATTCTAAGAACCATACCGCAGCAAAGGGGGAGAGCATGCTCTCTATTCCTGGACGGCCCACCATTACCCTCCTCTCACACTTCAATATTATTTCGCTGCTGATCGGTAACTTCCAGATCGAGTCGCTGGTACCTCCGCTCCAACATCGTTCAAAGCGTTTTCTCAGGTCCTCATGACGTTCACAACGGGTCGAAGCTTTGACGGAGGAGGCGGAGAAGTATCCCGCTTGCCATGTCTCACAGTTTTTTTTTTTATCATAAGGTGCCATGATATGCTTTTTGCTCTCGCTGGTGCATGAGGGCGCCTGGCGCGGGATGAGAGATGTTTTCTTACTGTATTGTGTGTCCCAGGGCGTTTGGAATCTGTCGCTGCTGCCTCTTGGCTTCGTCCGCGCCGTTTGTTGTCCGTGCAAATTGTGGTTTTTTCGAGGGAGGGGAGGAGGGGGTTGTTTCGATGATCTTGGAATAGTAGAGAGGGCTTTTTCTGCAGTCTCTGCGTTGCTTGTGGAGGACACCGCTGTCGCAGCTGGCTCCGTTTCAGGCAGTGACGTTTTTTTACCAGAGTTAGTTGGACAATTTTGGCGGCCAGGGGGGGGGGGGGGGGGGGGGGGGACCCATTGGTTGTAGGTTTCCCGGAGCAGGGTCATAGATTGATCTGGGCAGAAGCTTGCAATAACTTCAGAATCGAGTGATCATGTGTTGTAGACGTGCGCTTCCTTCACTAAACAGTTCGATGATTGGTGTCTTGCAACATGTAGCTATTAGTTCAGGAGGGCGACAACAAGCAGCAATAGCTGGGAGTGCATGGTCTCTGCCACCCTGACGTGCCCGCACCACATCGCACCACATGTCCCTTCTTCGTCTGACACGTGCTGTGTATCGTTCAGGATTGCGCTCTGTCATGTCGTGAGGCTGTGATGGCATCGAAGAAGAAGGGCACAGGCCCGTCGAAGGAGCACATGGCACAGGGACTGGCGTTGCGTGACAGTGCCCGCGACGGTTTGCCAGGACGAGGTGCGACACAGGGTTTCCCGGTGGTACAACCGGCAGGTGGCAGAGGCAAGGGCAGCATCTGCCGCCGCTGCGGCGAACAACCGGTCCCCGGGGGAGGACTGTCGGTTCCAACGGGAATCAGAGACCTCTGACGGCGAAGGTTCTTCTCTTTCGTTGGCAACCGCAACCAGTGAAGACGTGGAGGAAGAGGAGGAACCATCCGACGAACCAGATGCGTGGGACGAAGACCGGAAGGGGACCCTGTTAGCAAGCGGCAAGGCTGGGCGGGGGGCGAGGAGCGGGAAGGGCGGAGGAAAGCGGACCNAGAGACCTCTGACGGCGAAGGTTCTTCTCTTTCGTTGGCAACCGCAACCAGTGAAGACGTGGAGGAAGAGGAGGAACCATCCGACGAACCAGATGCGTGGGACGAAGACCGGAAGGGGACCCTGTTAGCAAGCGGCAAGGCTGGGCGGGGGGCGAGGAGCGGGAAGGGCGGAGGAAAGCGGACCCGGTCTGTTCCACCTCTATCCTCCACGATAAGTGGCGCTGCCGGCCTCCAAAACAAGCTGAGCAGCGTGATCGACTTGGTCTGCCAGAAAATGACCGCGCCGGCGGTGCCGACTGTGGGTGGTGGCGATCAGGGAGAGGCGAGCAGCAGGACGGAATCGGATGAGATCAAAGGCCTGCTCAAGAAGAGACTGCAGCGGCAGGAGCAGGTGCGCCAGCAGATCTTCAACGCGATCGGGATGATGCACGGTGGCGTCCAACCGCACCCACTCGGGATGCAACCGGGTGCAGGCGCGCTTCCTCGCTTCGGCGGTTACGCTGGATTCGGCGGCAGCGCCGCCTCGGCAGGGCTGGCTCTTCCTACAGCTGTCGGAGTACCTCCTCCTGCGCATCCTTCGCAGGGTGCAACCGCGGCGGGTGCAAGGGCGTTGCCCATGGTTGCTGGCGGTGGACAAGCCACCGGCGTCGGTGATGCCTCGTCCGCAGGAGGGGGGGGGTGTATTCCGAGCTACGGAGCTTCTTATGGCGGACGAGCGACTGGTGCAATCTCTGCAGTGGAAGCGGGCGGTGCAGTCCGGGTTAGGGCCCCGCGGAAGCCTGCGCCTACCACGAGTGGACAGACGCTCTGCGAGTGTGATCTTCCGGCATCCCACAGGGAGGTGAATTCGGTGAGTCTGTTGCGCACATACTTTGGGATTTTTGTCTACATCCGCCGAGAGTAAGGGAGGTGTTGTGGCCTTTCATTGACGAACTGGTGTCATTTGAGTGTTGTAGAAACGTCCGCGAACTCTCACGGCTGCATTACTTGTGCGCCTGGAGCATCCTAGGATGGTTTTCGCTGCTTTCATCTGCGCCGCCTCGAGTTCTTTCACTACCTTCTTATTTCCTTCCCATACTTCTCCGGCGTACTCTAGCGGCGGTACGATTACGCTCTTCAAAACCGTCAATTTGATGCGTGTATCGTGTTGATATGTCCGTGCTTGGGAGGAGAAGACACGCTTTAACTCTCTCTGATTAGGCACCCGCGGGAGCGAGGAAAGGAAGGGAAGAAG